GAATGCTCCGCTAACAACCACTGGGTTTCTGCGAGTTCCTTGCAACTCATGGATGAACGCCGGTCCATTCCGGCTGGCAGCGAATACAACAATCAGCGAAAGGCGCTCACGCGCAAGATTAGACAGTGTTTACGTAAGGACCGCGAAGCCTGGTGGTCAGAACGTGCGTGTGAGATGGAGTCAGCTGCTGCATCTGGCAACAGTCGGAAGCTGTTCCAACTCATACGAGCCACCGGCAGCAAGAAACAAGGTGTCAGCGAGACGGTCTGTGAGGCAGATGGCACTCCAATTACCAGCCTGAAAAGACGCCTGGAACGCTGGGCAGAGCACTTCGGGAAGCAGTTCAGCTGGCCACCAGCTTCAGTGTCTACTATCATTAGCCCGAGTGCTCCTTGGTCGGTTAGTACCGACCCACCCACCGAAGCGGAGGTCCGTAAGGAACTCCAAGTTCTGAAACGCCATAAGGCGCCCGGCCCAGACAAATTACCCCCGGCTCTTTTTAAAGATGGTGGCGAGACTCTCACAATGGCTCTAACTGGGTTGTTCAGGAAGGTGTGGGAGACAGAGAGTGTACCATCAATGTGGAACGAAGCCATTATCGTCCCCATCTTTAAAAAGGGTCGACGTAATTCGTGTGACAATCATAGGGGTATCAGTCTGTTACCAGTCGCGTCTAAAATATTGGCTGCTGTCTTGCTTCGCAGACTGTGCAAAATACGTGAAGGATTGATTCGCGAAGAGCAGGCTGGGTTTCGTTCAGGTCGTGGATGCATTGATCATGTGTTCACCCTTCGTCAGTTGTTGGAACACCGCCACACGTATTGCAGGCCAACGATCGTTGTGTTTCTTGATATTAGGGCTGCCTTCGATTCGTTGGACAGAACTGTGCTCTGGAACTGTCTGTTAGAGAGAGGTGTACCTGAGAAATTTGTTAACATCTGAAAGCCCTATACAGAAACACCTCAGGTAGAGTGAGGGCATACAACCAACTATCACCACTGTTCCCAACCAACAGTGGGGTTAGACAGGGTTGCCCAATCTCTCCATTTCTCTTTAACTTTGCCATCGATGACATTCTGGAGTCAGCTCTGAAGGATGTGCGTGGTGGGGTGTAGATCTGCTACCTGGAGATAGACTTTTCGACCTCGAGTATGCAGACGATATCGTCTTACTGTGCGATAGCATGCAGGCTGCCCAAATCGCACTTAATCAGTTGGCGATCAGTGTCTGTAAGTATGGTATGTGCTTTGCGCCGTCTAAGTGCAAAGTACTGTTACAAGATTGGCAGGAGCCTGTACCTGCACTCACTCTTGCGGTGAACCGCTTGAAGTTGTTGATAAGTTTGTGTACCTGGGTAGTTGTGTGAGTGCTGGCGGAGGGGTGACGGATGAGATTTCCAACCGTATAATGAAGGCTAGGGTGGCATACATCAACTTGAGCCACCTATGGCGCCGTCGCGACGTTAGCCTGGCTGTCAAAGGTCGGGTATACAATGCTTCGGTGCGGGCTGCTGCTCTACGCCTGTGAAACCTGGCCTCTCCGAGCTGAGGATGTGCGGCGACTCTGCGTGTTCGATCACCGCTGTCTCCGCAGGATTGCTTGCGTTCGATGGCATCATCGCGTGAGTAATTCTGAGGTTCGGCGGCGTGTGTTTGAACACAGTGGAGATCACCATTCATTGAATGTCGTCATCTGGAAACACCGGCTCCGGTGGCTTGGACATGTGCTGCGAATGTCACCCCAGAGGCTTCCGTACAGGTCTCTGTTCGCTAGCCAGCCCTGGGACGGGATGGAAAAGGCGGAGAGGTGGTCAGTCCATGACGTGGCGTCGTGGGATGAAGGATTTTTGTGCTAGATTAGCATCGGTTGGTGTGTCACGACTCCCTGGTTGGGGTCCGAGAGATAGCTCAAATCGATGGCTCGAAACGTTATCGGATATGGCCAAGAATCGTAATCAGTGGCGAATGTGTTGCGATTTCCTTCTTTCTTCCCTTCCCGATGATAGCTAACGAACACTGTTTGAACTTGTTAAGCATGACTGTTTTCCTTCCAGATGAAGTTCTTTATCCGTTCTCTACTTATATTTTTTTCTTTTCTTTCTTTTTTTTTTTGATCTATGTTGTTTTATTATTATTGTGTGGCACTTCCTTCTTGGTGCCATATTGTACGAAGTTTTTTATGAGTTTAAATAAATAATAAATAAACTATGTCATGACTAGGTTTTCATTATCTTTTCTCCAGCTGCGTTGGATGTTCTTTGGAAAGTATATTGCGAAAGCTGGGTTTTTGTTGATGTAATCAAGGTATTAATTCAAAATATTTGATTTGAAGTGGTTTGCACTGTCATGTGAGATTGGGATCAGATCATTGATCTGGTTAATTACGTTCTCAAATTGGACTTTCATGCTCAGCTCACTCACTTTTGACGTTGAATTACAAAACTTAGGTCCAGGTACTAAGATTTGTATTTGAATTGGCGACAGTGAAACATCAGAATAACTGAACACGTATTTTTCTGGGCAAGTAGGAAAAGCTGTTGCTTTGGTAACAGAATTAAGGCTTTGGTTTAGTTTCATTATGACATCGTCTGTTCTTTTCTTTGTAATTGTGTTGGTGTAGTTCTTGAATGATGTACGTTCATCTTCATATAACTCATGGAGAACGTGAGAGTTTTTTTTTGAGATATTCTGCTCCACTTCACGTAGTCTTGATTGAACGACATCGATGTGATTCACAGTGTTTAACGTTTTAGTGTATGTGAGTTAGGGGATAAGTGATTTCATCTGAGATGCTTGCAAGCTGCTTTGAGGTGTTCATGTTAATCTAGACAATTCTTCCAGAAGAAAATCTTTGCATTCTCCTCAGCAAGCTTGACAGACAAACGTAGAAACTTGTCCGCTCCCTTTATCGTTGAAGGGTTCTTGTTGTTCTTTAAATCACGGAATATATACATTGGATCATAGGTATTATTAAAAAGACGGTTACGGTGAAGAAGATTTTATTTTAATGACCACGATTGTGACAACTGATCACTTTTGTTATTATCCCCTTCTGTGAAACAAATGGTGGTATATCACTGCGATTGTAGAAGTAAAGACGATGAATTCGTCGAAAAGACTCACTTCGCTGGACTACTTGTATTATTTTTCCATTGATGCTTAAATTGGGAATATGCATGAACTTTTATTCTCACTTGTTAGATTTTCGTCAGAAAGCAACATTAGCTAGAGAGACCATTGAGAACAAAGGAGCATTGGACAGCGGTTTCGTTCCATTTCAAGAGTCTTTAGCAGTGAATATCCACGACCCTGCAAAGGATCAAATCCTGAACCTTCAGATTAGGAGACCAAGCGCACTGACCATTCAGCCACTTGGGCCAGAATCTAATGACCTGTGAATCCTAACATTGTCAATTCGTGATATAGTGCTGCCCTAAACAATGCCTTAGATGATTATCCACCTGGACAGAATGGACCCCACTGTTCACAACTTTCCACTTTGGCTTCAGGAAATCCATCCCATAGTCATCTATAAGCTGGAGATTGATTTGTTTTCGTCAAAAACAATATTTTAACATAAAAATACTTTAAATTCGTCCTTCTCACTATATAAGTGAGATAATTGGACACTTTTATGAATTAAAACAAAACAGGCGAAAAGCAACAAACTAGCTGAGGAAGCAGCAGGCGAAGACAGGAATCCAGGTGAACTTAGAGAAGATGAAGGTGATGAAGATAATCAACCAACAGCAGAAAAAACCAGCACCAGTCACCGTCATCGGGAGAGATTCAACAGAGGTTACTTCCTTCACTTATCTAGGGAGCCAGCATGGTTTCAACTACAGGCACTCGGAAAGGATGAAGATGTCTAAGCTAGGCAGAATCAGAAAGTCAAGACACGTCTTCATCAATCTGAAACCAGTTTGGAAATCTGCACGCAGTCAGCATAAAGACCAAGATTCGGATTTTCAACACAAATTTGAAGTCAGTCAGTCAGTTCTTCTATATGGGTCAGGAACCTGTACTGTGCATCACAAAAAGCATTTCCAACACGCAATTGCAGATTTGTGCCAACAGCTACCTTCGCTGCCTCCATACTGAAGATCGAATGACCAGTTGGCAAGAACAAACTAGCAACAAGAAACTCTGGCAAAAAACTATCCAAGAACCTGTAGTTCCACAAAAGTGTAGGAGAATTATAGAGATAGACAGGGCATACATTGAGGAGGTCGTCAGATGATATAGCGTGCCAGGCCAGCCCTCGAGTAGAATCCGAGTGGGAAGTGACGAGTAGGTCGTCACTTCGAGGATGACATGGAGGAGATCGTGAGAGGGAGAGATGAGGGATTATGGGGAATGTTGAACCCAAATGAATAGGACAGCATATAATACAACGAAGTGGAGTAGTGTTGTTGAAGCCCAGTGATTCACTCGGAACCCAAGGGAATAATAATATTATATAATAACTAGGTGGTTTCATACGGAGGACGGTAATGCAAATCTAACAGTCTAACTAATATTCATAGTGCTACTGTTTGTGGTAATGTCATACGGTGATAATGTTATATTTAAAGATGTCGAAAACAAAATCCATTAGTTTTACAAAACTACTTTTTTTGCCTTCACGTTCCCCAGTGAAACATAGGGCTTCAAGCTAGTGGCTTGAAGTTTATGAAGCAGTGTTTATTTTACAGGATAGGGTTGCTAGCCTCATGCCCGACCTTTCCTCTTTACCAGGATTATTTCTGGCTTAGCGACGTAAAGGAGTTAGTCGACCGGGGATCGAACCCCGGACCATGTGCATGGTCGGCGAGCGTCATAACCTCTATGCACCGACGCTACACAACTGCTATTTATCTATTCATTTAAATAATGATAAATTATGATTACATAAAAATAATCAATATATTTATATATGTATATATGAGACAAAATAAGACAGAAGAAATATGCTATTCAAATGCAACTAGGCAATAAGTCAAGCGAGTTGAATAAACTTACTAAATTTATAAGATAGGCATTCTCTTTCGATGCAACAGGAAAGGCATAATTTGTTTTCCAACCTGCTTCTTTAATTATATCATCTATTAGTTGTTTAGAATCATAATCCATCATTTTAGCTTAGAAAATAGAAGAATAGAAGTATACTTATCCGTATATATTTGTATATGAACAAATAAATGTATGAAAGTAATAAAATCGATGTTTTGGTCACGTGATAAAAATAATTAATAAATAGGGGAAACATTCAGTAAATTATCTCAAAGCGAAGAAGTATTATAAGTTTACAAGTTAGAAATAGAAATAAAAAAAATAAGATTGATAGGATGTAGCAGTTGAAATAAACATAAACGTTTTAGAAAATTTTAAACAAAAAATAGACACAAACTAAAAAACTGTTGAAACTAGGACCATAACCAAAGACTATAAATACAAAGTAAGTGGAAAGGTAAATAGGTAAAAATAGTATTTTGATTGGACACTAGTAACTAGTGTGACGTATCTAGTCCTTTCTTTGGTGCATACTGAATTCTCTCAATCAGGTTTGCATTGTGACCGCCATTTTAGGTAGCTTAACATCACAGTGCACATTGATTTGATGATATTAGATGGTTGGAAGCGATCAGCAGGAAGCCTTGGATCTAGGTTTCATACTATTTGGCTCGCGAGGCCGAATAGCCAGGTGGTAACGTCTCTGACTGCATCTCTGAATGACGCAGGTTTGAATCTCGAATGGGACATGAGTTCCTTCAAGGATGCAGATGCCCCTTGCTGACTGGTGAGTGTCAACTAGCACGAAAGCTAGATCCAAGGCTTCCTGTCGATTACCTCCAACCATCTAGTACCAATAATTCACAGTGCACGGTGATGACGAGCCACCCAGTATGATGGTCACACTGTAAACTTGACTGATCGAATTCAGTTTGCACCAGAGATAGGACCAGACACATTACACTAGTTACTAACTAGTGTCCAATCGAAAGATGTATAACAATATTAAGTGTTAGATATTTACGAAGAAATAAATTCTCATGCATTATTTCAGGTATTTCAGCATACATCACTGCCATATAATACAATGGATGTACCAAAAGCTGTCATATGAGATGTAGTATAATTAAACTTTTCATGGTTCACTAATTCATACTACTTAAGTTAATTGGTCATGAACCCTAAATTTGTTTTATAGAACTGCTTATATTGGTAAAACCTTAGAAACAAGCATTTAGTCTCTTGCCACAATATTGTCTCGTTCTGATATATTAAATAAACAACAATAATGACACGGACTGTCACTGTAATTCGTAAACATAACCATCATATTCTTCTGTTGTTTTCACTATATATACAATTACTCTTTCATCTTATCAAATTCACATTCTCACACTAAACAAAAACATCAATTCTATGGTGCATTGATATATTTAATACATAATAGCCTCCTAGTTAAAACAACTTCAAAACATGATAGTCAGTTTTGCTTACTTCTCTTTGGTGTCATTGTTTATGATATAGATTTGGTGATTGTATACACTGTCACATGCTTAAGCAAACATCAGTAGATAGCATTATTATGATTTCATGTGATAGATTTTGTTTTTCTATCTTAAATTTACTGAAGAAGACTATTGGTTTTATTGATTTATACATTTCAAAATCACAAGTAAACATAGTAAGATTAAATTACAATCACATTTAAGTTATTTCAATGAGAGTGAAGTTTGCAATAGGGAACGACACCTACGGTCCGTCTATCGAACCTTTTGCTCTCAGCAGTTTCCATGTGTTTTCAAGCTACATAACAGAATGATATCAGTTGAAGGACCACTGAAAACCGTGGAGTAGTAGACATCTGTTTCTTCTCAGTTTGGGACTCTTTGTTAAGACACGCACATGACCCTACCAACTAGAGATCGAATCCAGGACGACTGGCCACGAACCCAGTGTTCTTAAAAATTTCGAATGGTAACTAATTTACGTGATGAAAATAATTAATAAATAGAGAAACTTTCTATAGTTTGGTTTGTAAGGATTAGTTATGTTTTACGAGTTGATCACGGATTGATATCAGTTAGAGAACCATTGAAAACCAGGGAGTACTGGACAGCTGCTGTTTCATCCTAGTTTGGGAATCATCGACAGTACGCACCCACTGGGTTTCGAACCCAGGACCTTCCGGTTACAAGGCAAGCTCGTATACCATTCAGTCGTTCAAACTAGAGCTTTGAAGTTTCAGTAGCAGTGGTTTTATTCTTACACAGTGAGGTTGCTAGCCTCACATCCAAACTTCCCTCTTTACTGGCTATACTACCGGCTCAAAAAGGCTAAGGACTGAATTGGCTGAGGGTCGAACTCAGGATCACGTGTGTGTTTGACGAGTGACCTACGGCTAAACCGTCAACTTCATATTATCTTACCTCAAATCAAGATTTAGGGACATGAATCAGTTTTCTTTGTAATATATATCATGTTCATCAAACAAACAATAAGTTGGGATTAAATTTAGTGGTTATCAATTAACGCATATTTCCTTCAGTTTTTCTACAGTGTTATGATACATATTGTACATTTTCTAATTATTCTAAGTACAATGAATAGTTCAAGTCTAGAAAAGAATGTAAGCTTGTATTTGACTAAAAACCATACTCAAAATAAATTACTGCGAAATTTCACTTCTGAAAATGGAATGGAATTACTTCAATTAGAGGAAATAAAATCAACGTGGAACACAGCTGTGATATTGAATAAGTGATACGGCTCGAACCCCAAAGGGTGTGTAATGACGAAGCGTTCCAAACTAGAACGTATTGGCCTTCCAGTACCCCCTGGTTTTCAGTGGCTCTCTAACTGATATCATTACGTAACCAGGCTTCAGACAAATCAAATCTGTACAAACTAACTCTTGAAAAATTAGAATGTCTGATGAGCAAACGGTAGAAAAATATACACAAATAAAATAGGCTATGGCTAATAACCAATCTAATGAAATACAATGTGCATCGGTGGTTTAATGGTAGAATGCTCGCCAATCACTTACATGGTCGCAGTTCAGTTCTCAGCCGACAGACTCGCAAACCTCGCCCTAGCTGGTAGTAAGTCAACAAGGAAATAAGGAAGGTTAAAGAGCGTAACCGTTAGTGAAACTGCAAAGCTTGAAGCCTTGTGTTCCACTCAGAACGCGTTATTACTAATATTCCCTTGGGGTTCCAAGTGGAATATAGGGCTTCAACAACACATCTCCCTCTTTTTCTATTTTCTTCCGTCCTCTTAAACTTGGCTCATAATTGCCTAAAATCTCCCATCTCCTCCTCTTCACCACACGATCTCCTTCATGTCAACCTCGCAATGATAACCCATTCGTCGCTTCCCATTTGGATTCCACTCGAGCGATGGCCTACACTGCGCGCGATTTCATTCAACGACCTTCTTCCTCAGCGATCCATCTTCATTTTCTCATACATTTTTGCTGAACAATCGGCTCTTGGTTTCTTGTTACTAATTCACTCTGACCGGCTGGCTATTTTGATCTTCAGTATGCAGCCAGACAAGGCAGCTCTTGATAAAAGTCTGTAACTTGATGAAAATGCTTTTCATGACACGCGGTGCAAGTTTCTGACCCGTATAGAAGAAGTGACTGACTACATATCTGTATGGAAAATCCGAATCTTTTTCTTTATGTTCTTCAGAAGGCAAGGGAACATAAAAAATGTGATACACCGTCCCCAACAGTACGTAATTTGGATTCATTTTAAACCTAGCTGTCACCCGTCGCTGACCCTATAGAATAATGTACATTAATTGTTTAATCCTTGTTATTGTACATTGATCACTAATTTCCTCTTCTTTATATTCAATTCGGATACTCAAAAATAAGTGGAGATGATCACTATCTCTTGAACCAGTTACATGTATATTTTAATCTCTAGTCTTGAATTATCTTACGATAGAATTTTTATCTTCTCTAACTGTGAACACTTATCTAATAGCCTTTCTTACCAAGAAAAAAACATACACTAAGACAGCTCATTTTTATGCAGAACATATCGATTTATACACTAGTTCGTGCGTACATGTATATACATGTGTGTATGTGCATATAAATATATATACATGAAACATGGAATAATAGAATAAAGAGAAGTATTGATCACATAATATCTTCACCAAATCCTTAAATAAGTGATTATCGAAAAATCATACGACCAATTTTGATGGTAACAGTTTCACTTGACTGTAGTATTCAGGTTTTTAAGAATACCTTTTAATAAAAAAATAATAGTTTTCTATAGCTTTTATTCAGTCAACGGCTAACGGTCTCAAGGGAACGTCTTAATTCTAGACTAACCTAGAAGCTTACAATTGATGGATGGTGGCTAGCAGTGGAATCCAGGATGCGCATTTCGTCCTATTTGGGACTCGTCATCTGGACGAAATGCGCATCCTGGATTCCACTGCTAGCCACCATCCATCAATTGTATACTAACTAAATACCCAGACATCGTCGAAGCATCTGCACAAGAAGCCGACATGTCAACCTGAGACCGAGCACTTCGGTCCAATCAATCGACGGGAAAATCAAAAATTCAATTCAATAATTAACCTAGAAGCTGGTTTTAAAACAAAATCAGCAGCGCAAATTTTAAATGCTAGTAAGACTACAACTCATCTATTGGCTAGTGTAACTTTCAGCCTTCAACAGACGTAAAACTAGTCACTATCTAATGATGGGTAGGTCGATCTATGAAAGGTAGATGCGAAATTGTAGTACCTTGGAAGATAATGGATGTAGTCAAAATCCTGTGGAATATTAAGTCATTGCATGACATTAGTCTTATGTGTATTTTTTCTCATTATTTTGTCCCCTGTCGTTTCTTCAATAAAATGCACACTGTATGCATTTCTGCTTTGTAGGCCACTGAAGGGTGCAATAAATTAAGCTGACACACAGACCAATTTGTACCTTGATTCATCTATCTATCTGCACTGTTTGCCGAACCAGCTGAAATATGCCGATATGGAAGGTATCTGTGAGGCATAAATAGGCACTGCAGCCAGTTCAAGTTTACAAAACAGCGCCATTTTACTCACTTCAGTGAAAACTCTGAAATTGACTATGTGCAAATGACTGTGCACAAATCTGACAGGCTTGCTATTCATGTATGAT